TCTTCTTCTTCTTCTTCTTCTTCTTCTTCTTCTTCTTCTTCTTCTTCTTCTTCTTCTTCTTCTTCTTCTTTTTTTCTTCTTCTTCTTTTTCTTCTTCCTCTTCTTCTTCTCTCTTTTTCTTCTTCTTCTTCTTCTTCTTCATCTTCTTCTTCTTCATCATCACTTCTCCTCGCACGAGTGGGGCCGGACGTTATCTCTTAAACGGACACTGCTGTTCGCTACGTACCATTCCGTGTATTTGAAATTTCTGCGATCCATTATCAGCGTGGTCGACTCTTGAATTTTTTTATTGTATCTGTATAACATTGCTCTCTGTTGTTTCCTGTTTGACGCCAATCTTGTTACATGGCCAGATTATTTGATTTCCTATCCACCTATAAAGTTCCGTATTGTTTCTTTGCCGACTCTTCTCCTGATTTCATCGTTCATAAGTCGATCTTGCCTCGTTACACCTAGCATAGTACGCAAACATTTTCATTTCTTTAGTGACTATTTTCCTTCAGTCTGCTAAAGACAGTGTTTATGTTTGACATTGACAGCATAGCTTTACTGGATCTGCCATTAATTTCTTCATCCATTTTTTGCCATTTTCGTTAAAAGTTGATATTTAACATCAGTTGCATCACTGCAAAGCAGCGTAATAGAAATGGGCACCAGCTAATTTTTAGAAATGTCTTGGAAGGCCAGGTCACAAGGAAGAAAAAAGGGAGGGGGCGGGGGGCGCATTGACCACAACTTATAAGTCGCCATAAATACTACATGGAGCCGCTGGAATAAGGCGGCGAGAAGCCCTCCTGCGGTTCTAATCTGATCAGAGGCTACTTTCTTTTATATGACCCTGACTTCCGGGTAAAGTACCAGAGTACCAGGTAAAGTCATGGGAAGTAAAGGCGGCCGGTGTGATGTTGACCACATCACTCGCCGAGTGCCGATTGGTCTGTAAATGGAAATCGGTCTTTGAATCCTACTTTATGTATGCTGCGGCACGCTTCACATTATGACGAAATCCACACGCACACAAACACACTCTAAATATATATATATATACTTATCACGTGACGTCCGTGGCTAAGGCGTTGCGAGTCCGAATTATAAGCCAGCATACCGCGATCGAAACCCACTGCAGGCTGCGTGGATATTTGTCGTGGTATGGGACGTCGCAGGTCGACCCAGCCTAAAATGGGTACCAGGATGGGCTGTCCTGGGAAAGTAAAGACAGCCGGCGTAATGCTGACCACATTACCCACAGAGTGCTGATGGTCTGTAAAAATATGGGACGCTCTGCCCATATGCCTGATGCGCCGAAAGGCGTGAAAAGGGAACTTTACTTTACTTTACTTATACTTTTCACAGACATCAGAAGGAGACAGTCGTCATTTTTCGGCCATGTTATGAGAAGAGGGAAAATAGAACATGTTGTGACCACTGGAAGGATCTGTGGAAGGAGAGATGGAGGAAGACAACGAGAGAAGATGCTTGACAGTCTTGTTGCACGGCATGGAGGTGTGTCGGCACACGAACTGATACACGCTGCAGGAGATCGCAGATTATGGAGAGGCATCATTGCCCACGCCAGTCGGCAAGGCACCTGATGATGATGAAGCATGTTAGACGCCTACCATATGCATCTTGGAAAGGTTTTACCTTTCGCTAGCAGTCAAAAAACCGCGCTTATGCAGAATCGCAAGACGTAACCACCTGTTCATTTTTCTATCTTAATAATGTCTAACAGCAACTGAAACGTTAATTAATGACCTTCTAGTTTTAATCAATCATTAAAAAATGCGTTATTTCTCGACAGGAATTTTTCGAAAATACTTAAAACATATTTGCATTTAGGTAGTTAAAGGCTATCGCTTACATGTCATGTCAGATAGTTCTTTGCACCTGTTTTCCAAGAACAGGGCGGCACGGGTAATTAAAACGAATATTTTAAATGATTTCTAAACGTTCAGACCAGTAAATTGCGGTCATTTAAATATTTTAAGCATACCTAAAGTAAGTCTTTTTACAAAACTGCAGACGCATAAGTGGTCTATGAATAGGAAAATAAACTCTCTATATATATATATATATATTATCATCAGGTGCCTTGCCGACTGGCGTGGTCGATGATGCCTCTCCATAATCTGCGATCTCCTGCAGCATGTATCAGTTCATGTGCCGACACACTTTCATGCCATGCAACAAGACTGTCAAGAATCTTCTCTCGTTGTCTTCCTCTATCCTTCCTTCCACAGATTTTTCCAGTGGTCACAACATGTTCTATTTTCCCTCTTCTCATAACATGGCCGAAAAATGATGACTGTCTCCTTCTGATGTCTGTGATAAGTTGTCTTCGGGCCCCCGCCTCATACAAAACCTCTTGGTTGCTCTTTTTGGCTGTCCAAGGTATTTTAAGCATTCTTCTGTAAAACCACATCTCTGAGGCCTCAAGAAATTGTTTGGCCTGACTACCGATTGTCCAGGATTCACATCTATATGTAAAAACTGGATGTATGTAGCAAGCAAGAATTCTTTTTCTAACTCTCAATGACAAGGATATATTGCACAAGATATTCTACATTCTAATGTGCTTGCAAAAGTATAAACAGAGGCTGGCTCTGTCCCTTCGGCAGATGGCATGTCGACAAGTTGATGGCTTTGCACTTTTTTAGAATGGTGAACGGCATCAATTTTCAGATTGTTCGTGTCATTTGTTTGACCATATATCTTGCTGAAATATATCCGTCATGGTCTTAGTCTTTTTTGTGTACCCAAATACATGTTATTTAATTTACAGTTAACACCTGTAATTTCAGTTCGACCCAATTTTGAATAAGTACCAGGTAAAATCCTGGGAAGTAAAGGCGACCGCCGGGATACTGACCACATAACCCGCTGAGTGCCGGTTGGTCTATAAAATATAGGCCGAGCAATATATGCCCAATACGCTTGAAGGCGTGGAAAAGCCTTCTTTATCTTTTTTTTTTTTTTTTTTCCTGTTACTTTTTTTTTTTTTTTTTTTTGTAATTTATTTAATTAATAGTTGTTTGGTCGGTTGGTTGGTTATTTAGTTAGTATTTAGTTTTATTTAATTAGTTAGCTAGCTAACTATTAAGTTAGTTTTTTTTAAATATTTAACTAGGTCTTAAATCTACCCAAAGTATTTCAGCATCCTCACCGGTGCTACAGCGCTTGTGCACTGTGCTGAGCTTTTTCGGACTCGGACTTGATTTGGAAGAACGGAGCACTTATGGGTTACCCGTGTGCCATGATGTTGATCCGTAGTTCAAACCTCAAACCTTAAAGCTCAAAAATAACGTCAGTACATTTCAAAAAAGCATGATGCAAAAACTGCAGGTTGAGAAGAGAAGTGCTCTGTCTATCCGCCTGCCGGAGCTTCCGTCCCAGATCAAGCTGCTAACCAAAGCTTAGGTCTCATGATAATATTACAAGGGACTTCAAATGAAAAGTTTGCAAGCGTTAGAGAAATTACAGTAACCATCTTATTGACTTAGGGAGCCGGAGTGGTCTAGCCGCCAGACGCTTGCCTGCGGATTGGAAGGTCGTGGGTTCGGTTCCCTTCGGGAACCGAACATTTTTCAAACATGACCTCCGCTTCCAGGTCGATCCAACCTTAAATGGGTACCATGTACAGTCCTCGGAAGTAAAGGCGGCGGGTGTGATGCTGACCACATCACCCACAGAGTGCCGTTTGGTCTATAAAATATAGGTCTAGCCATATAAACCCCGTACGCCTAAAAGGTGTGGAAAAGGGTCCTTTACTTACTTTTATGTTTCTGTCTTGTAGCCTGTCTATATTTTTGTTGGACATGTTGATAATTTTAAGCGGGTGACATCACACAGCAGACGAACTCAGTGACGTTCTAATGACAGTTTGAAGATTACCGCCCCACTTTTGTCGCGTACAACAGAGAAGCAGCGTTCTGTTATCCGTTTGTTTGTTTTCACCTGTAGGACCTTGTCGGTGAATGAAAGTCTAGTGGAGTGATGCATTCCTCTCAGTTCAGCAAGTATATCATTTCCATATATAAACAGTTTACGTTTTGCTAATGACACAGTATTGATAGCAACAAATCAGAAAGAACTTCATGAAATGATAGACACTGTAGTGTTAGTGGAAGAATGGGCCTCAGTTTAAATAATGGGAAGACGGAAGTAATGGTGGTATCAAAGAAACGAATTATTCCTAAGTGTGTAATAAAAGCTGATGGTGTTATTTTAAGACAAGTACAGAAATTTAAGTATCTGGGCACATGGATAACATCAGATGGAAAATGCATAACTGAGATAAGAAACAGAATAGGACAGTCAAAAACTGCATTTTTTAAAATGAAGACCATCTTGTGCAAAATATCCTTGTCATTGAGAGTTAGAAAAAAAATCTAGCTTGCTATAAGTCCTGGACAATCGGTAGGCAGGCCAAACAATTTCTTGAGGCCTCAGAGATGTGGTGTTACACAAGCTTCTTCTTCTTCTTCTTCTTCTTCTTCTTCTTCTTCTTCTTCTTCTTCTTCTTCTTCTTCTTCTTCTTCTTCTTCTTCTTCTTCTTCTTCTTCTTCTTCTTCTTCTTCTTCTTCTTCTTTTCCCCTCTCCTCCAACTACCACCACCACCACTACTACCACCACCACTACTACAACCACCAACCCTACTACCACCACTACTACTGCCATCACCACCGCTACCACCACTAGTACCACCACAACTACCACCACCACAACTACCACCACCACTACCACCACCACCAACACTACTATTACTACTACTATGACTAATGTTGCGGCTGCTGCTGGATCTGCTAGTATTTCTGCCTCTCCTGTCACATTATTTATTATGTAAACTCAAATTGGAGCATAGAGCCTCACCATACCACACCTCACCATACCACACCTCACCATACCACACCTCACCATACCACACCTCACCATACCACACCTCACCATACCACACCTCACCATACCACACCTCACCGTACCACACCTCACCATACCACACCTCACCGTACCACACCACACCTCACCATACCACACCTCACCATACCACACCTCACCATAACACACCTCACCATACCACACCTCACCATAACACACCTCACCGTACCACACCTCACCATACCACACCTCACCATACCACACCTCACCATACCACACCTCACCATACCACACCTCACCATACCACACCTCACCATACCACACCTCACCATACCACACCTCACCATACCACACCTCACCGTACCACACCTCACCGTATCACACCTCACCGTACCACACCTCACCGTACCACACCTCACCGTACCACACCTCACCATACCACACCTCACCGTACCACACCTCACCGTACCACACCTCACCATACCACACCTCACCATACCACACCCCACCATACCACACCCCACCATACCACACCTCATCATACCACACCTCACCATACCACACCTCACCATACCACACCTCACCATACCACACCTCACCGTACCACACCTCACCGTTCTGTCATCAGTGCTTTCAAGAACAGAAACTAGGGGGGTTGGGGGAGGGCATATGGAGGCGATACGAAAACCTGCTTTTGGTTACGTAGGAGGCAAGTAAGGAGGGTTGGTGTGAGACTGACCCCTTCACTCTGTAGAGGTAGTTTGTTGCAGAATCCAGCCAGTCATGAACACGTCTACAAGATGCTTTGAGTGAGTTCGCTGAAGACCAATGGACGATAAAATGCTGCAGTAAACTGATAGGGAAAAAAAAAAAAGAATTTATGTCATTTAGAAAGAAAATATAGGCTTGTGAACTGAAATTCTGTAGAAAGATTTTCTTGAATACTATGGACAAAGAAGAAAGAAAACAAAAACTGTCATCATATAAATATAGGAACATCAACGAAGACAGGCTAGTAAGCAGCATTTCGTCGCGCAAACTAAAATGCCGTGGCCAAATCAAATGCCAAGCCGGGGAGGGGGAGGGGGGAGAGACAAAAGGCATGGTACCAGGAAAGAGTGGGAGGGGCCGACCAGCACGAAGATGGGCCCAGGATATAACTAACACCTTGGGTTAGAAAGCGCAGGAGGCAGGAGAGCTGGCAAGAAACCGAATTTCTTTCCGGCAGTCAGTGATGAGAGCGACGTTCTGCAAATGGCTTACTAGATGATGATGAGGAGAATATAGGCTAAGTGCCTTCTAAACTTTTGCTGATTACGTAGTTTTTGAAGCTAAGGTTTCTTAAGCGTCGAGTTAGCAAATCTGATGTCACACCTCCTTATTCGCCTCTTATGGCATGCACTGTAGGTTACAGTGATGGTATTCTTAGCTATCCTGATAGGCTCTACCATGGGATAAGCAAAACTATACCTATTTTCAAGGGAGGAAACTTTCTAGTGTGGAGGGGGAGGGGGATTGGGTAAAGATCAGACCCGGAAATGCTCTACCGCAGTACTGTGACGAATGATCTAGTATATGGGAATGTATGTTTTCTACCAACTATACCTGTGACCAAAGCCGTATATTATGATATACGACACCTCAGCGCAGTCATTAATTTTAGACCCCGTCTTCCCTCAGCAAAACTTGAGCTGTACTATTTTAATGCCAGAACGTGTATGTAATTTCGGTTTTCAAAAGTTGGCAATGTAGCGTAAGGTCTTGTGCCAGAGCTACTGTTTAACAGTAGTAAGTACTGCCTCTCTTCTGAAAACACAGAATGTTAGGCGGCGTATACCAAACTTGACATCCCACATTGAGCCAACGGCTTTGGGTGGAGGTACGCATTGGAGAGCGTACTAGCCTCATCCTAGGAAAAAGGGAAATGCAACCGAATGGTTGTTGCTTACGGTAGTTCAGATCATGCCCTTAGCCTCGGTTGGCCTAGGAGTGAAACTCAAACATTTAACACATAAGAGTCTTCTGGTCGAGTCGCTTTTGCAGTCTGGTGTTTTCCATACACACTGGTGTTACTGGACTCGTTTACGGTGTTTTCAGTTTATTACACGTAAATGCAACAGACTTAAACGAAGCCAGTCTTAGTTTTGCTGGGCAGAGACAGTTCTCTAACGGGTGAGTTACCTTCAAGACATAAACCGTGGACAGGAATAGACGCCCATACCAAATGAATACAAGCAGTACCTTGTGCTGGTTAGCACACTGACAAGTCAGTGTAGTGATTTGGCGCCACCAATAGTTGGTGCAGAAGTAAAAGCATTGGTGGAGGAACATACATCATTGGGAGATGCTGTTATATATAGAGAACTCATCAGAAGCTAAAAGCGTGGGCTTTTAAAGGAAAGTCATCAAAGAAGACAGAGGGGCTTTTGCTTCAACCACCAGCAGCATGATAGCAGAGGTCCTGCCTGTGAGAAAGGTCCTAGAATAGATGAAAACTTAGGAATTCACCAATGCATGTTTTCTCAACGACTCATTAAGCATGCTACAGAAGATCAAGGCAGGATATATACGGAAACGGCAGCTCAATCTGATACAACACACAGCGTTTCGCAAACTCGCCTTCATTTTTTTGTCCCAGGGATCCTGGTGTGAACGGTAGTGAGAGAGCAGATGCTCCGGCTGGCTGTGCGACTATCAGAAGTGGGCCATCTATGGAAAGGAGAGACATCATTAATGCCATTCTTCTTCTTCTGCCTTTCTATCCCCCAATGGAGCATAGGCCCTCAACCAACTCACGCCAAGTCGTTCTATCCCTCCCCATGTCCTCCTCGTTTTTCTAACTTCATTCTCCAGCTCTCTTCTCCATGTGTTTCTTGGCCTTCCTTTATTCCTATGCCCCTGTGGGTTCCAGTGCAAAGACATTCTAGTTATGCTGTTCTCCTGTTTTCTCAGTGTGTGTCCTATCCACCTCTTGGTCCACTGGAGCCTGTTTAGTTCTATCCCAAAGCTCTACATTAGTTATTCTATCATACCATTTAATGCCTTCTGTTCTGCACAGGCACCAGTTAGTGAATGTCTGTAATTTATCAGTAATTGCCTTCGTTGTTCTCCATGTTTCCGCCCCATTTAAAAGTTTTCATTTGACATTAGAATTAAACATAATTAGTTAAGTATTTCTTTTAATTTCTTTTGACCTCCACAAATCCCCTAATGCTATAAAAGCTCTCTCTCTGCCTTTCTGTATCCTATTTTAATATCTCTATCAGTTCCTCCATCTATATCTTACAGTTGCTGCCCAAATATGTGTTACAACTCCACGTCTGAAGTGACGACCAGGTGCCCATTAAAGATTTATTCTCAACAATTATCTATGTTGCCCTGATTTATTCATTCAGTATCCTTTAAGCCCTTCCTCTTTATCAGGATTTTCAGACCAAGCTGCAACTGCCCTGTGATCTCAAATCCAGCATATTTAATGTATCTTGCATCTGCATTCCGTGACATGGGAAAGAAGAGAAATAGAGAATGGGAGTTGTGAGCTGAAAAACACTTATACACATATTCAGGAGGAGATGGAGCACTTATAGCCATAGCCGATGTGCGATGAAGATGGTCTTTAGAATAAATAATAAACAATGGTGTTACCTTTCTTTTAGAGTAAACAAGGCAGGTCGAGTGGGCAACACGTGGTTTCTATAATACTGTGCAGGAGAGGTGGAAGTTCACCCTAGGCCCTAATTGTCAGAAGTCACACTCGCCATCGCCATGGGATGTGACTCCCATGCCTCCTCAGAGCACAGTAATCCGCTATCGTCTGGAAAGACGGAAAGGTACCAAAACAATGATAAAAGCAGTGAATATAATAACATGTTATTACTGCTAGTTATATTTTGTCGCCAGCGAAACTTTGCCTCCCGCTAGCTGCGCGTGTTGGACATGCCTGGAACACACTGGCGATCCGGTCGCCCATTTGCTGGTCTGTAGACGACTTCGTCACTGGTCGGGACAATATTTGGGGCTGTCTCATTTGATTGCATGAAGACTGCAGCCTTTACAGGGATCTTGGTGGCGTGAAATGCTAAAGCATTTAATATGGTGCACATAACCTAGTCACAATTATAACCTAAAGCTCCCCCTTCGGGGATGCCGGTAGTCGTAACGATTTTTGTCCTCCAGCAAAGCACCTACCTATCTACCTGAATAGGTCCATGTCTCTGAAGAATACGGATCTAAAGATCGGAAAACTAATGTAATAATTTGTTTCTTAATGAAATAAAAAATGTTCTGTGACAGTAATCAATCAATGAAGTAAGCAATAAATAATGCAGCTGTTTGATGTGTTAGTCTGAGATCTTAGTCAGAGTGGTCTCGGTGATAATACTAAAATTACATGCGATAGATAAGACAGAAAGAAACACCTGTATTCACTTAAATTACAGCAAACACCTAACACAAACAGATTTGATTTGATTTGATTTGATTCAAGAACCGACATCACAGCACTCGGGGGATTCCTATAAGCGCTCCGTCCCCATCTTCAGCAGCCAGTGAGTGAAGAGTTCCGATACTAATCACCCCCCCCCCCACCCCCCTGCATCAATCTCACCAGACTGTGGTGATCCATCTGCTCCTCCGAACGGTACACGCTCTCCCACAAGGCACTAACCACGTCTGCCTTATCATGCATCAGTATTCCACCAAGCTGTGCAGAGCCAGCCAGTCTGTCCGCTTGGTGCTCTGTGACAGTAATCAATGAATGACATAAGCAATAATTAGTGCAGCTGTTTGAGGTGTTAATCTGAGGTCTTAGTCTGATGGAGTCAGAGTGGTCTCGGTGATGAAGATAAAATTCCAACCGACAAATACGACAGACAGAAACATCTGTCTGCACTGAAATTACATCTAAGACAAACAAAAACATCTGCCATCATTCTTCATTATAATAACAACAGACAAGTACGACAGACAGAAACACCTGTCTACACTAAAATTACAAATGGCAACAACGATAGACAGAAACTGTAATCTACACTAAAATTAAAACAGACTACTACTACAGACAGAAACACATATCTACACTAAGATTATAACAGATAACTACGACAGACAGGAACAACATATCTGACTAAAATTATAACAGACAGCTCAGACAGACAGAAATACCTCTCAGCAGTATAATCACAGGGGATGCTAAGACTAACAGAAACATCGCCCTACACTAAAATTACAACAGACAACTAAGACAGACAGAAACATCTCTCTACATTCAAATTTTAACAGGCAGCTAAGACAGACAGAAACACCTGTCTACACAAGAATTACTACAGACAACTAAGACAGATAGAAACATCTCTCTACATTCAAATTTTAACAGGCAGCTAAGACAGACAGAAACACCTGTCTACACAAGAATTACTACAGACAACTAAGACGGGCAGACACACCTTCCTACACATAAATTACAACAGACAACTAACACAGATAGAAACATCTCTCTACATTCAAATTTTAACAGGCAGCTAAGACAGACAGAAACACCTGTCTAAACAAGAATTACTACAGACAGCTAAGACAGGCAGACACACCT